TCTTTACATAGTTAAATATTTCAAAACAAAGACTCACCCTAAATCTGGGGTGGCAAGATTCAACCTAAATCTGTGTCATGCCTTCTGATCGCAATTTCCATGAAAGGACACAGATGAGGAAACTTTGACTTTATGCCTGTTTGCTCTCACTATGCCAGTAAGTTCATCTGTCCTCCTGCTGAGGCATTCCTTTGCTGGTATTAGAACCTACTTTTAGGAATTCCAACATATACTAAAGGCCAGTGGAGAATCTGGTCTTGTGGACTGGACAGGTATCACACTGCTGGACTCTCTGTCAGACAACTGCCATGGTCGAATTAGCTGGACCACAACCTACAGGTCACTCTAACAAATCCCCCTTTATTATATATAGATTTTCTCCATCAGTTCTGTTCTTCAAAGGATCCTTACTTACAACCATGCATTGTTTCGACCTGTGAAATACAAGCAGAAGTTTTCCGTGTCTCTTGCAGGCAGAAAAACTTCTCTTTGGTCATGGTGATAAGTATTTTTCCACTTAGAAGCTGTCTGATTAGCTTAGATCATGGAGTAAAAACCACCACAGAGCAGCAACCAATTCACCACAGACATAGAACCGGAGAGAGAAATGAATCTTGGCTGTTTCAGACTGCTGACGTGTGGGGGTTGCAATGCAGCACAACTTAGCCCAATGGACTCCTTGATGTAGCTCTGTATTATAGAGACCTGAGGTGTTGATGTGGTGGGAGACACTGGAAGATTGCTAACTGTGAAGTAGTCAGGAGGCACAAACCAGGCCATCACCTGTAATGGAAGAACAGCATGTAACTCGGAATCTCAGCATCGAAGAGGCTGAGGCATGAGAATCAAGAACTCAAGATCAAGTTGAACTACGTAATAAGACCCTGTTTTTTAAAAAATAAAGGAAGGAAGCTGAGTATTACATCCCTGTGACCTGGGGCCTGAAACCCTGGCTAGGGTGGTGAAGGAATGAAGAAAGGACAGACACACAGACACGCATAGAGTGAAACTGGGATCATGTGGGGTTCTTTAAGGTTATCGCTACAGCTGAACCTGGAACATTCTGGGTCTTTATTTGGTACAGCACAGGGGAGGATCTAGCTAGGCTCTGTCAGAGGTCTCTGTAGGTGAGCAGTCTTAGGCTGTAAACACCCAGGAAGCTGCAGCTGCTGGTCTTTGCACACACTGCCCAGTCATTCATAAACTTATACTTGACCTCCTAAGGAAGGCTTTGCCATTCCTCAAGCCTTGCCCATATGGGTAATGGTTTTGCCAATTTCATGGGGCAATTGGCCTTGAAGTTCTTAATAGGCCATGCCCAAATCACAGTACACATTCACTCAAGACTTCACCCTCTTGGGACTGCTTCCACTCCCTACAACATTAATATCAGTCTACAGTTTTATTAATAGTTATTTATAAATGGAACCCCAATTACCTAGAATTGCAGATTTTAGGATAGACTGATTTTCATATTCTATCCAACATTAAGCATCGCTGTATACATCCCCACTGTGGTCTTCCATGTTCCTCACATAGCCTCAATGGATAGGGAGCTTGTGTTAGACAAGCCAGTCTGTTCCAACATTATATAATCCATCATTATATATCATATAAATATGTGTATTGCTTCATTATATACCAAGTCTACATATTCCCTACTCTTATTGCTATATTAGGTATTTGAGTAAATTTAATTTCTCATTTTGCAAAATCCTGACATGCCACCTTCTTACCTGGGTGAAATATTATCTATAATCCCTCAGAGAAATTATTTCTAGACCATTCTCTTTCCTAGGCATCCTCTCTGGTCCTCTAGTGCCAAAAAGTTTGCATGAGGCATTTCTTATTCTCCACCACCTACTCCCAACTCCACTGCCTTCCAAGATGGGATTTGGTGGGATGGAACCCCTGACACAGTAATGCAGAGACTGTAAAAGGCATTTTGAGGTGACAGTCTTCCACGTCAAACGAGAACCCAGAAGAAAGAATGGTAGTTAAGCCTGGATCTGAAACAATAACCAAGGAAAAATCACCAACATTTGCCTTTAGGGAGTATTGGAAAAATGGGCTGGTTTATTGTATAATTTTCAGCTGGGTGATTTGGGGACCAACCAAGACAGTCTGAAGGGCAAACAGCTTTAGTGAATTCCAGGAAATGTTAAAATGCATGTTTGTTGAGGGCTGTGTAAGATTTCTGAGAACAGTGATAATTTCTGGGCTTATATATGTTTAGTGTATATAAGGCAACGTATTTGTCCCAAAGGTATTCACTAGGAACTACACAACAAAACAAGTTTAGTTTTTGAAGTGTTTCAATGATGTATGGCATCATAGAAAATTACTTAGAGTTGGTACGGTGTGGCACACCTGCAATCTTGACACTCAGGAGGCTGGGGATCACCACAAACTCAAGGCTACTTTGAGCTGTACCATGAGTGCTAAGCTAACTAGAGTCACATAGCAAGAGCCTGTTTTTTTCTTGCAATTGATCGATAACAGCCTATCGATTGACTGATTATCGTTATCGATATCACCAGGCGGGATTTGAACCCACGTTCCTTGGCACTAGATATCACCAGGCAGAATTCGAACCCACGTCCCTTGGCACTAGAGCAGAGCGTTAGGCACTCCTAGCCGCTGAGCCACAGCTCAAGGTGCTAGCAAGAGCCTGTTTTACAAACCTAAAAAGATCTGGGCAATGGTGGCACACAGCTTTAATCGCAGCACTCAGGACGCAAAGGCAGGTGGATCTTTGTGAGTTCGAGGCCAGCCTGGTCTATAGAGTGAATTCTAGGACAGCCAGGGCTATGCACAGAAACACTATCTTGGAAAAACTAGAAAGAAAAAGAAAAGTCTGAAAAGGAAAAAAGTAAAAAAAAAAAAAAAAAAGTAGTTGGGAAACACAAGCCAGAAGGATCTCTGTGAGTACAAGATTTCCCTGTTCTTGAAACAGAGTGACACCCTGTTTTAAGGGGAAAAACAACATCCAATAACTTTTTGAAAAAAACAGGGGAGGGGGCCAGAAACGGCAAGACTTCTTAAATAGCACACCTATTAATGTTCATATTTAATTTTAAAATTTGTAATTCAGAACTCCTTTGGCTCTGTCCTTAAATTTTGTTTAGCAGGCTTTAGAATTTTCAGGGCTTCAGGGCTCTCCTCTCTGGTGGACTTGAGGGACTCTTTTCAACTCGTTTGCTTTGGGACAAGGACATTAGAAATAAGATGTGTAATCATCAGGGTCTTACAAACTGCTGTGAGCGTTCCCACTTCCCTTCTTCAGTGCTCCACAGCAAACTTCAAATTCAAAGTGCCTAAAAATGGAGCCCATCTTCAAACGCGAGCCCCCACTTGTCATGCGTCTTTATCAAGAGAAGACACAGCGCCTGTTCTGGTCTGCCAAGCTTAATCACATCATTGTCAGTCTCTCTTCTCAACTCAGTCAAGAAGATGGGCGTTTGGGGCCAAAAGCATGGCCCCGGGGCCAAGCCACAGATCCGAGGATGTGTGAGGCCCTGAATTCAACCTCCAGCAGCACACATATGATATAAAAAAAGGTAGAAACTCTGGATTCTTCTTTGAAATGCCATCTGTAGGATCCCAAACGAACTTCTAGAATTTTATGTCACCTGGAGAATGATCATTGAACAGAGATCAAAATGAATGTTTTCAGTCTCCCTTTTTTCGAGGTGTGACAGTTTCTCATTGCTTGTTGACTGAAATGTAATTTCCTTAGCCTAATATAGTACAAAAACAACAACAACAAAAAAACTATTTTCAAGGTTGGTAGTACACCACCTTAATCCCAGCACTTGAGAGGCAGAGGCAGGAGGACCTCTGCGAGCTCAAGGCCAGTCTGGCCTTCATAGAGAACTCCAGGACAGATAAGACTACATAAAGGGATCTTGTCTCGAAAACCAAAACCAAAACAAAATAAAAAAAAAAAACTTATTTATTTACCTATTCTGGTAGGCCAGAAAGATTGAAGGGTGAACAATCATGAATCCACATGCCACTGGGGCAGTCAGAGAACAAGGTGAATAATCACAGTAAAATAAATACATAAGTGCCCCAAAAGGAGCACAGTGCTGTGGTTAGGATCATAGGGAAAGTCTGCTTTGACTCTTAGGTGAGGTGTAGATTGGAAAAGGCAGAGAAACAGCTTGGGGAGCAGCAGAAAAAGGCTGCCCCAACTGTCTAGGCAGCAGCCCCTGGTAACTAGGACTATATGGAATTGGGGAGCAGGGAAGGGTCATAGTGAAGGTAGGGCTGTGAAGCAGACGTGACTGGACTGACTGATGGACTCCAGGAGACTGAATGAAAATGGAAAGGCTGGACCGAAGACCGTGCCCAGTTTCCCAGTGTCTACCAAAGGCTCGAACAGCAGCGCCAGTTACTGAGATAAGGAAGACTAGAGCCACTTGGGAACTGAAATCAAGGGCTCCATTGTTGTACTTAGTAAGGAAGGGACAATCCCTGAATCTTACCGTTGCAGAGCCCTGAGGAAGCCACAGTCTCCCAGGGAGTTGGCCGATAGCCTCTGAGGCCTACAGCTATCTACTCAAGCTTCCGTGTCGGAACAAGAAATTTGGGGTGACCTGAGTTGGTATTCCCGGGTCTGGGTCATTCATAGTTGGCACCAGAACAAACTCTATTTCCTTTGAGGTGAGAGTTGTGTCTTTATGTCAATACTCCTGAAATCGAGAAGCTAGCAGCCACACACTGCCGTGATGTGTGGAGGAAAACTTTCTGGTTTCCTCCACTGTTTTTATCCTACCTAAAGCCTGGGGCCAGTTCAGGAGCATATAGTACATGTATTCAGGTGACATAGTACATGTATTCAGGAGCACATAGTACATGTATCCAGGTCACATAGTACATGTGTTCAGGAGCACATAGTACATGTATGTATCCAGGTCACATAGTACATGTATCCAGGTCACATAGTACATGTATTCAGGAGCATATAGTACATATATCCAGGTCACATAGTACATGTATTCAGGTCACATAGTACGTGTATTCAGGTCACATAGTACATGTATCCAGGTCACATAGTACATATACTCAGGTCACATAGTACATGTATTC